TCGGTAAAGTTATATTCGGAAAGAATGAACCAGTTTTTATTAAGAAAGAACTTGTGTCGCTTAAGTTTCGTCGGAACGAAGTTACGGAAAATCAATTAACAAACGGAGACGTAACAAGCGTATGGTTTTGAACGATCTGTGCATGGCTATTTTAGATCTAAATAAATCGAGAAAGCCATAAAAATTGTAATTAGTGTAATGTTAATTTTTTAAAGGAAATTACACGCAAGTTAAGTGTTGTTTGTGTGAAATATTTTGCAAATAATAAACTAATGTCAGTCGTCACGTGATGGCAACAACTTTGTGCCATCGTGTACCATACTCGTTGCATTGAAAAGTTTGAATAAGCAAAAAACAGTTAAGATGATTCTGAATTGAAAAGTCAATATGTAATCCGGACTCCTCGGACAAAGGCGTTTCTACCGATATGAGACTTGTAGCGTTTGATCGAGAAATTTATGAGGAAAGTTTCGGACAGACAAACACAAACGTATTATTTATATAGATTGTATATTGCCACTGAAATATAGTGTATTGTTCCGTATTATAAATATTTGACGATTATTTTTCTGATTTTCTCAACATGTTTGGCCGCTAGGAATCGCTGTTGTATTTTATTTGACCTAGCCAGGACTCTTCTGTACCAATATCTCTAGCCTAATAAAGAATGTAGATGATGATTTGTATACAGTGTAAGGAGAGTGATTCGAAAGTCAAGAAAGCCTCAGCGGTAACAGTAGGCTTGAAACGCTAATAATCGGGTTCCGATACCTGCGGTAGGCAGTGCACAGATAGCTTTATGTGGCATTATGTTTTACGACAAACGTACAAAGTTACATACATTTATAATTGTAATCTAAGAAATCCAGCTCGGAACATCTTGCATCGGGTGTAAGCTATGAGTATAGTAACGTTGCGCTGTTGTAAAACAAACTTCACACCAAGATTAGTGAATCAAAATTGTTAATTAGTTCTTGTCAAAAAAATCTACCTACATAGGTCAGAACTAAAAATCAACCTGGTAGTAAGTATTGTTAATTAAATATACTGTTCTTACTTATATTGTCTGTTAAGTTCCGTACCCTTGCTATTAACGATACTTTATGCTGTAATCCCAACAATAATCAGGTTCGATCAGTTTGTTTGTTTGTTTTAGAGCAAAGCCACATTGAGCTATCTGCTGTTTCAACCGCAGGGAATCGAAACCCGTGTTTTAACGTTGTAAGTCCATAAACGTACCGCTGACTCCACAAGGGAATGGTT